ATCGGGCTCCCTGCTCCTTGGGAGCCTGCTTCTCCCTCTGCCTCTCTCTCTCTGTCTCTCATGAATAAATAAATAAAATCTTAAAAAAAAATAAAACCACCTTTTTGTACCAAAGACGTCTCAAGAATTCTTTCTTGGCCATCGGCTTTGAACCCTAATGTCTTTCCTACATCACCAAAGAAGTAAAAAAAAAAAAAAAAATCACTGGGTAGGCTTGTGGGGAGTGGTAATGGTGGCCCGCGTGAGAAGAGCAGCAGAGCATGATGGCAGAGGCAGCCCAAGGGGGTCAGAAGATTGGCCACATGCAGGGGATGGAGCAAACAAGTAAATAAACTGAGGATAAGGGCATGTGTTTCTCACCAACAGGAGGGAAAACAAACAGGAAGACGGGAAAGTGAGAATGAACCTCGTGGCAGTTAATACAAATCCGTACTCTTGGTGGTGACTCAAGGCTTACCGCATACAGAGACAGAAACAAATATAGATGTAGGGTCTACTGAGAGGGCCCAGGAGCAGCTACACCTCAGAACAATAAGCACACCTTGTACCTAGATCTTGGCTTCAGAACACCATTTTCCGGTAATCAGAACCCTGGAGAAATGTCTGGTTCCAGGAAAAGTATAAGGCAAACCCAGAACATTTTTGTTTTGAAGGCAGTGCTCAAAGAACGATGGGGAGATGCCAAAAGAAGGAACAGAGAAGCTAATCTGAAGGAGCTCCCACCAGCCAACAGACAATTTCGGCCTCAAAGTAAATAGACAAAAGCAATAGACAATTTCAGCATCAAAATAAATAATGACAATAATAGATTATAATCCACTGAAGAAAATATGAATCCATGAGTCCAAACAGATACAATTAAACCAATGGAAATTTCAGAAAGCTCTTACAACAGAATGCCAGCTAATAACTGTAGGAGGAATAATGAAAATGAAGAATGACCGTTTCACAATTAAAGTTATCCAGCCAAGAGACATAATGGGTGATAAACATCGTGGGTGAAACTGGGAAAAGAACAGTGTATTTATATTGTCTCAAAGTGATTCCACAAAAAATAGTTACTAATTACAAAGCGGGGGGGAAAAAAACCCACCTTTACAGCGGAGAAACCTAGCACCATCTTACTCAAATGATCAACATTATCATCTGTAACAGGACAAATAAACATCATGTGCCACTCAGTAGGTCACAATAAAAAGACGACATCATTAATGTGATATCCCAGCCGAAGATGCATATTCTGAATCTAATCAGGAGGAAGCTTGGACAAACTCAGGCTAAGGCACATTCTCTGCTACCTTTAGGAAGGTCAAGGACATCAGTCTCCAGGAAAGACTGAGGAACTGCTCCAAGCAAAGGGGGATCAAAGCCATGGTGAGTGGGTGTAACTCAGGATCCCAAATCAGACCTTTCTGTTACAAAGAACGTCACAGGGGCATTTGTCAAAAGTGGAATGAGGTGGGGCGCCTGGGTGGCTCAGTTGGTTAAGCGACTGCCTTCGGCTCAGGTCATGATCCTGGAGTCCCGGGATCCAGTCCCACATCAGGCTCTCTGCTCAGCAGGGAGTCTGCTTCTCCCTCTGACCCTCCTCCCTCTCATGCTCTCTGTCTCTCATTCTCTCTCTCGCAAATAAATAAAATCTTAAAAAAAAAAAAGAAAGTGGAATGGGGTGCCTGGGGTAAGGGTGTCTGGGGATTCTTGCAACTTTTCTGCATGTTGAAATTGTTTCAAAATAAAATTATTTTTTGAAAAGCAGGAATGGGGGCACCTAGGTGGCTCAGTCGGTTAAGCGTCTGCCTTTGGCTCAGATCATGATCTCAGGGTCCTGGGATCGAGCCCCGAGTTGGGTTCCCTCTTCAGCGGAGAGTAGGCTTCTCCCTCTCCCTCTGCCTCTCCCCCTGCTCATGCTCTCTCAAATAAACAAAATCCTTAAAAAATAAAAAATAAAAAAAAAAAAAGAAGCAGGACTATCTCCTCTGTCTCTTCCCCCACCCACCCGCCAGTTGCAAAAGACATGGCAAAGGACTCTGCGGTCCCAGATCCAGTTACGGAACCACCAGAGGGAAGGAGCCTCGGTCCCTCGCCCACTCCTGCACAAGAGCCCGGCTTCCCCTCCTGGTCGGTCGGTCTGCTACTTTGGACTTGACATAAACTTCCATTGTCCGAAGCCGCTGAGCTGGGGGAGGGGGGGATCCTTTCCTGCTTTATCCTGACTCATCCACTTACTCAACAGCCCGCTGTACTTCTCCACTTGAGGTCTCACACACACCCCAAGGAAACATCTTGCCCCAAAACTCGTTAGCCATATTGTCCTCATCAGAAACGCAGGTGCATCTGCCCTTTCTCTCAAGCGTTGCCCCGCCTCCTGTGCCATCGCCTGGTCTTCTCCATGCCCACCCGTCCTGCTTCAGCTGTCTTCTCCCCGGCCTGGCCCCGTGGGGCCGGTCCCTCAGCCCGCCATCCTGCTCCTTTCGAATTCCCCTCCACTTAGCACTGCCAGAACACACATGGGCTCACACTTCCTCTTCCCGGTTCCTACTGCTCTCCACCTGGAACACGCTGCCTGTTTCCAGGCCATTCGGTACATACCTACTCTCCTCTCAGGGTTCAGCTCCTAAGACACCTTGAGGAGGCCTTGCCTGATCCCCCCTCCCTAAGGCCTTAGGACACAGCCTTCCCTCTGAGTGGACAGAGCTGCCCTGCCCGTCGCACTCATGGGCTGACACACCAGACTCCCCAGAATGCCAAGCTCCTTGGTACCCCCTGGAAGAAATGTTCCCCTCCCACTCCCAGCCACCTGCCTCAGCCCTGACCCCCTGCTGCCCGCCATTACTTTACTATGGGGTTTCTCTAGAGCTAGCTTTGCCCTCTGGACCATTCCGAGGCTGTAAAGGGGAGAACAATCGTCACAGGAGTTTTTGGTCACCGAGTTGGCACTCAACAGATAGATGTCGGAAACAAAGTACTCCCAGTGATTCTCTCAGCTTAGAATTAGTCCCCCACTTGCACCCCACCATGACATTCAACCTGTCAATGACCTCGCAGTCATTTTTCAAGAGTGGACGTGGGTACGCAGTGCATGTTCTTGACTTCCAGGGCTGGTCTTAGCTCATTGGGACTGCCGTGGTCTCATTCATAACTTTGAACTCCCCAACCCACGCCCGGGGCCTGGTACAGGCCTGGACACAGCTGGATGCTCTGGAAGCACTTACCGCCAGGCCAAGACCACCACCTTCCGGGGGCTGCGAGCCCCACGCAGTGCTGACCGGCACCATGACCCGAGGCCAGGCCCAGTCTGGCACGAGAGTATCCCACGGGCTCACACCCCCACCGAGAAAGCAGGACAGAAAAGGTGTATTTCTGTGCCTGGTGGTTTCCTATTCCCAATTCAACTTTTGAAACAGAGAAGAAGAAGGAAAAAGAACCTGATATATAGAAGTAGTTTCTCCCAGACATTCTCTTTATTCCCAACCCCCAACGAGACACATTCTACCCCGTGAGATCCCTGAGGCCCATTTTATGGGCTGGAAAGTAAAGGCACTGTGTCAGAGTGCTCCTGGAGGTCAGCGACACCCGACCCAGGAAGACCCACGAACCCTAACCTTCAGGGACCCCACCTAGAGATGTAACAAACCAGAAAGACGTCCTTTTCCTCTTGTCTTTGGTCTTCGGAGCAGGCCTCTCTGCTGAGGGTTTCTGAGGAAGCTCCTGCCCCGGGGAGCAGCCACTCCGTGGCCAGTGGCCATCAGGAGACAGGGGGCAGATGCAAAGCCGGGGCTGGGACCGCCTTCCAGCCTGCGCCCGGCTGTCAGGACCAGGGCTGTGTGCACTGACGCGGGGCTCCCCCGAAGGAGAAATAATACAGCTGACTGTAGTGCCGGCGGGCAGACAGACGCGAGGGCTCCAAAGAGCACCCCGGGGCAGGCTGCTGGCTGGAGACCCGTGCGGCCCAGGGGAAGTGCGGTCCCGACTGCGGGGCCGAACAAGGTGGGGGGAAGGGGCGGCGGCCCAGCCGGCCTGCGTCAGGATCCTGAGGCCGCTACCCTGGGCGCTTGCTGCGGCCACACGTGGTGGCTCTTCTCGCCACAGGACCGACGCAGCCTCAGAGCTTGCTCCGCGGGGCCCCCGTCAGGGGCCTCCGCAGCCGCCACACCACCCTCACGGGCTCCGCAGCGCCGTCCAGCTCCCGGAGGCCGCCCAGGCCCCCCGTCCACCTGTACCACTGCAGGGCCGGCTGCAGCACCGTGATGGGGATGCTGAAGTTCAGGTGAGGGTAGGTGGCCCCTGTGTCATTGTCCCGGGTGTTGCTGGCCACGATGCCTGGTGAGGAGTCAAAGAGGAAAGGGGGTATGAGCCAGGGGACAGACGGGCGGGGGCTGAGGCCCATCTCCGGCCCGGAGGCCCTAGGAGCGCTGGGGGCTTGAAGCCCCCTCCTAGTGTCAGACGCCCAGCTTCCCTCCTGGCCTCTGGCCCCCCTGCAGCCCCGTGCCCCTTCCCGCATCTACTTTCCCCTTCACGCCCCTAATACGCAGTGTCTCACTGGCTTTGCTACTGTCCTCTCCAACCAGTGTCGGCTCCGTGGGCTCTGCCCACCCAGGCTCCCCAGGACCCGCAGCACGGCGCGTGGCCCGGGCCAGCGCTCACCAGGTCCTTGCTGCCTGAACGAATAAACGAATCCCGCTGCACGTGGGCGTCTGTGCGTACACGTGTGCACACGGGGATGTGCTTTTTTAGGCAGTTTCAGACTTACAAGAGCCTTGCCGAAATAGTAGAGGTCCCTGCCTGCCCTTTGTCCAGCTTCTCCTCATGTCACTGTAAAACAGTGATCAAAACCAGGATAGTAATGTTGGAGCAATACTAGTGACTGAAACACAGGACGCATTCAGATGCGGCCAGTGATTCCACGATGCTTTCTCTGTTCCCGGATCCCATCCGGGGCCACGTCGTGTCTCCCGAGGGTTCTCCAGGCTGCACCAGTTCCAGTCTTGCCCTGTCATTCATGGCCTTGACACTTGGAACAGCACAGGTTCGCTGTTCTCTAGAATGTCCCTCAGACCGGGGTCACCCGATGTTTTCTCACGGTAAGCGTGAGGTTCGGCGTGCTTGGGAATAGCATCCCGTGCCCTTTTCCGGGCGGCCTACCAGGAGGTGGATGACGTCTGTAAGCGTTTGTGATGCTAGCGAACTTTGACCACTTGGCCACCGTGCTATCTGCCAGGCTGCTCTGTTGTGGGCTTACTACTTTCCCTCTTGTAAGTACGAACTCTTTTAGGATGGCGCAAAGATCTCATTTCTACTGTCCATTCATCGGTGGCTCCCGTCCGCAGCAATTCCTTCTGTGGTTTTCCACTTCCCTCATGTCTTCTGCACTTAGAAACTGGAATTCTCCCGTAAGGAGCAGCCACCACTTGTCTCCGTTTGAGAACGTCCTTGGTTATTTACGTCAGTGTGGACTCGGCCGTTCCCTGCGTTATCACGGGTATGACAGTCACTGGCTCTGCAGCTCAGCTCGTCCTCCTAGGAGCTCCTCCAAGTCGCCTCTGCTTTCTCTGCTCATTTGCTGTGCCTTCCATTTTGTTGCTGGCATTTCCTTCCCCTCCGGCACCACAAGGTGCTCGGGGTTCGTCCCGAATGTTCCCTGCCCAAGCCCCGGAATGAGTCACTTCCTGGTGCCTCTTATTAAAGAAACCATGATCTGGGCTCTCGGTGTGCTCACTGCAAGTGGGGTGTCACTGCCTCTGGCCTCTCTCAGCGCACAGAGCTAGATTTTATACACACACACATCTATACTTATCTCTACACCCACTTCTCTGTATATGCACATACTGGCTCTAAGCATATTACCAATGAATCACTAACTGCACTCCAGGGGTTAGGAGAAGAAAGCAGTTGCCCTAAGAAACTTGGGAACACAGGGTTTTGCTGGGACATGTGAAGGCTCCAGACAAAGAGAACCATACACACTTAAACGCTATACTCTACTTGGTAAATCTGAGCCTCGCAAGGGTGTGAGGTAGGGATTCTGCAAGTACTTTATTTGTGTCCCACAGCTGAAGAAATAAGGGAATTCCACTCCTGCCAGCAAGAGCAAGGCAAGCTTTCTCACCATGTCAGAAGTAAGGGGAGGGGACGCATCGCGTGAGCCGTGGCGGGGAGTGCAGTTGGAGGTATCCACATGCACTTGCAGTTGGCTTATTTTTTTTTAATGGACAGACTGTTTTGTTTTATTTTTTTTAACCAGAATTAGTTACCAAAACCTTAAAATGGAAAGATTTAACAACCACATATTTAAAAAAAAAAAAAAAAAAAAAGGGTCACAGTTGCTAGTGAACAGCTGAGGAATCGGGCAGTGTTAGGCCCACAATCCCGTGTCAGGAGGCAGCAGCGTGCTGGAGTGGAGTGCTGTTCACCCCGGGTCATCCCTGACCCTCTACTCCCTACTGTCTTCACTCCCTCATTCATTCACTTGGCCTGTGACTCTTGGACTAATCCAACTGCTGAGTTTCACAGATCCAAGGAGATTAGGTGACTTACCTGAGGTGGCGTGCTGGCAGAGAAGGAACGGGGATGCAGATCTCTCCCCTCCCTGCTCAGCATCTGTCTCTCTCCACTCTAAGAGCACAAGTACCCGAAAACCTTGGCTCACTACCTCTTGGGCATCAGGCCCACCATCTTCCCAAGCCCAGGGTGGCTCCTGGGGCGGGACGCCCAGCACTCACTAGATGGGACCGAGGCTCTGGCAAGGGGAATGCTGGGAGAGGGCCACGGAGCTGCTTACCCAGGAGGTTTCCTGTGCAGGGGGAGAAGAGGGGTCCGCCGCTGGAGCCGCCATGCACGGCACATGTGGTCTGGAGCATCACCGCTGCGTCATCCACCCGCACCACAGCTGACAGGATGCCCGAGGTCACCGAGGGCCCGCAAGCCTGGCCAAAGACGCCGAAGCCCACCACACTGACAGCTTCACCTGCCCGGGAAGAAAGGAGGGTGAAGGTGGGGAGTCGCCTCTGTCTGACAGGACTCCCACACTCCCCAACCTGCTCCCTGCCCTCTCCGAAGTTCCAAACCTTCTCTGCCCTTCAGGCTCCTGCCTCCAGGAAGTCTGCCCCAGGTCCCCACGGGAAGAGGCCAGGACGTCCACTGAGCTCCCAGCACCTGCTCACCACTTGTTCTTGGCATCAGGCTGTTCTCCGGCCCTCATTTCCCTGCTGGACCGGGGAGTTACTTTTCAGGGTCCCTGGCACCCAGACCCGTGCGCAATAAATGTTTGTGTCAGTTAAGCGTCTGCCTTTGGCTTGGGTCATGATCCCGGGGTCCTGGGATTGAGCCCTGCATCGGGCTCCTTGCTCCGTGGGGAGCCTGCTTCTCCCTCTGCCTGCAGCTCCCCCTGACAAATAAATAAATAAAATCTTTCAAAAAAAAGAAAATAAATAAATGTTTGTGACATTAACACCCATCTCCTCCTTGGACTAAGAAGTCTCTTGGTGAAAAAAGGTGGTAATGATGACGACCAACTACCTGCCAGTAACTTCCTTTTGCAAGTGCTCTGAATGCACAGGGCTAAATGCTTCATAGGCAACGTCTCACCCACTCCTCATAATGCCCAGGAGTAGGGAGCTTTATCCCCATTTTCCAGATGTGGAAATTGAGGCAGAGAATATGGAGTTGCCTGTCCAAGGACGCAGGGCTAGCAAGTGGCAGAAGAGATGCCAACTGAGAGAGCTCGCGGTGTGCATCCCCACAGTGAGACCCGTGGCACTCCCAAGGCAGCATGCCATGCCACCGGAGCCTCAAAAGTGTAACACCGCTCTGGCCAGCCCGCAGTGTTACAAGGAGCTGCCAACCCACGCGCAGCCCCTCCACACTGCACCACTGCAGGGCCTCAGGGAAAAAGGTGTGCCTTCGCCTTCGCCAGGGATCCCACCTGCAACCTCCACCCCTCCCCAGGACCTGGGGCATGCTGGGCACAAGCAGGGAAGCCTCCAAGAGCCACCCCAGCCAAAGCGCTGAAACCAGGCTGATTTCACCCCAGCTTCATGCCACCCTGACTCATTACTCCAGCAGTGGTGAGGCAGGGAGCCCGCCTAGAGGACTGGCCCCTGATCTAGAGGGTTAGAGTGCTCAGCGCTGACTTTGCCTCCTGAGGTCTCCCCCCCCCCGACCACAGGGCCCCTTGCCCTTTACCTTCGTGGAAATGCTCAGCTGGCACTGGCAAGGGGACACCGTGTAGGTCCTTCTCCAGGCTCACTACCGCTACGTCGTAGGGAGAGGTCTCCTGGGTGGCAAACACCACATGTCCCCAGATCGTGGCACTCCTAGGAGCAAGGGAAACAAAGTGACGGGCTAGCTTTCTGACCCTTTAGCGCTGGGAAGAAGCAAGGGGATGAGAGTGATCGTAGAAGCCACGGACTTGGGGGTTAACGGGCCTGGCATCAGCCCTGACAGGTGCCAGGCAGGCATCTCTGGGCATGCACTCGGCCATCATGTGGTACTTCCAAACATGCTTCATACTTCTGTGTGAGCCCCCGGCGCCTCCCCATAGTCCTAATGCCTGACACCTGGGAAGCACTGTGGGCCAGGGCAGGTGTTAATGCTCTATGCACACCATTTTAGTTCTCACTGAAGCCTTAAGAACCAGGCACTGGTGTTATCGCCATTTTAAATGGTGCATGTGAGGGCCAGAGAGGTTGAGTAACTTCCTCAAGGTCACACAGTAAGTGGCAGAAGCCAGGGCACACATTCCCAGTGTTTTCCTTCACTGCTTCATTTCGGGCAATCCTGCCAGTTGGTGAGGCAGACGTAGGATTTCGATCCTGTGTCCCTGTGTTACATAAAGGCTAGCACTTCTATAGCTCTCACTGTACGCCAGGCTCTGTTCTGAGACTTTACAGGTCAACTCAGGGAGAGGCAGCAGAGACTGGCTTGCCGAGGATCACACAGGGGCTCCCCACTACACTCTGCAGGGACACCTTCCAGCAGACCGCGTGGACTCCCTATAAGCAAGTGTGTGTGTCTTCCGGGCCGGGAGATTGGGCACTACACCTTCGGGAAATCCTCATTACCAGTCTTCCTTATAGAGCCATGGCTGTCCTGCTGGCTTCCAGGGGGACACCCCATGGCAAAGCCAGGCTGGGTTAACACTGGAAATTCAGGAGAGGGATTTGGGAAGGCCTGAGCTGCAAGGCTAGGCTGAGCCAGGCACAGAACCTCAGGCATTAACACCAAGGTGCAATACCACTCTGCTCCTAAGTTGAGCACCTGGGACTACCGCAGAAACAGAACGGGTACTAGAAACCCAAGCCAGGAGGCCAAGGCTGCTGTCCCTGCTGCCGGGCAAATGGAAGGAAAGGGGCCAAGAGTGCTTTCCCTGCAGAGACATAAGTGACCAAAGTCCCAACCTGGCTGCCAGGATCACCCAAAGATCATTCCAGTACATCTGTGTGCTCGGCCCCACTCCCACGTTCTAATTAGGTGGAATTCCACACATGTCATTTTTATCAGGATGGGAAGTTCTGCTTAAGATCTAAGAGAACAATCAAGTAAGAGTAAGAGGCCCCTCTCCTGACCCCAGGAAGGCAGCACTGTGGGCCTCTGAGACCTCACGACCACTCTCAGGGGAGGGAGAACAGGGCGGTGAAGTTTCCATTCAAGGGGCCTAGTGGAGTGTGGGTGCAGGGCTAGGAGACAGAGCAGTCAGAGTTCAAAAGGAATTCAGGCTGGGAGGGGGTGCTCAAAGACGCCCAGTCAGGGATGCTGGGACTCGCCACAGTCCCACAGTCCAGAGTCACTTGGCATCCTGCCCAAGCCCCACTCACCCCCTGCCAGGAAGGAGGCCCAGTATCCCCTACACTGGGGTTGAATGCCGAGGATGAGGGGACGGACTCAGGTCTCTATCCGCACTACACCCTCAAAGCATCAGCATGACGCCAGAAGGCCTCCATTATCCTCGGTTAGATCTGAGAGCCAGGGGGCGGGAGGCGGGCAGAGTTGGGGCAACCTTGCGGGCCTTACTTGGGGGGCGTGGTGCGCACCAGGACCCTGGCCGCCTCCCGAGGGGCCACATGCCGGCAGGTCACCACGAGGCGGGGCGCCACCACCACTCCGGAGCCCCAGACGGTGCCGCACTCCACCAGCACGGCCGCAGCTGCCCACGGGGGGCCGGGGTCTCGGAGGGGCAAGCCCCACGGGGCGCCCATCTCCGGCGGCAGGAGGGCGGCCAGGGCGTGGGTGCCAGGGCCCAGGCGGCCGAGAGCGGCTCGGGCGGCGCGCAGGAGAGGGGTGGCGGCG